CAGCTTCCCAAGTGCTGGGATGACAGGCGTGTGCTACCATGCCTGGCCAATATAAAAGTTATTAATGAGCTATTTACATTCCTTTCTTTCAGTCTTTGAAAGCTGCTGTGGGTTTTGCACTTCCAGCGCCTCTCAATTCCAACTCGCCTCATCTGAGGAAACAGCGGGCGGAGAGGGCAAGTTAAATGCCACCACGCGCTGCACTCAGCAGAGTCCAGAGCAGGGGCAACGCTGTGTGGTGTCTGCTGAACACCAGCTTTTCACCAAACATGTGCTCCAACCAAATGCTTAGTCCTGACTTGGGCTGCGGCCTTATTTGGACAAACCCTGACACAAAAAAATCTATAAGCCATTCAGGGTTATTTGAACAATGTCTCACATTAAGGAACTTATATGAATGGATTTTTATCCTTTTGAGAAAATATGGGAATATTCACAGATAAAATGATATATCTACATTTGGCTGCTAATTCCCAATAGCTAAACCACAGAAACAGCCTAGACTCCCACTGACAAATGGACACACAAGATGTGGTATATATACTCAGTGGACTATTACGCTGCCATAAAGAAGGATGAATTAGAGTCATTTGTAGGGAAATGAATGGCTCTTAAGGCCATACAGTTACATGATTAAATCAGACACAGGTTAAATATTGCACTATGAGAAACTCATTGTTATGGCTGTGTCTAGATGTCCCCCCAAAGCCTTACGCAGTCATAGGTGGGGCTTTTTCAGAGGTGGCTGAATCTAGTGTGCTAAAGTAATTCATTGTGTAATGCTAGGATTAAGGGTGGCAATTATTAAATAAGTCCACTGATTGGTTCGGTACCGCCCTAATCCCGGTAGCCTGGATACAATATAAGGGATTAGAAAGAGGCTTGTCTTATTCCTCTCTTGCTTGCTTTGCTGTCTTGTGTCCACCATGAGCTGTTTCTCCTCTGCAATGCCCCTCTGGCCCTGCCACCCTGCCTTGGAGCCAGCTGATGATGAACTGAAACCTGTACAAACTGTGAGCTAAATAAACCTTTCCTCCTTACATCATGGGTCCCAGATAGTTTGTCTCAGCAGTGAGAGAAAAGTAACGAAGACACTTACAATATAAATAAAGAGTAAAATAAAAAAGGCAGATGGACTTTTTGGAGTTGGGGAAGGTGAGGAGGGAGGGGAGCACACCCAAACCGATCAAGACCATATGTATACACAGACATACGGACACTGTATACGTAAGGGCAGTTCTGGTAGAAAGAGCGGCGAGCGCAAAGGTCCCGAGACAAGGAGGGGGTTGGTGAGCAAGGAGCAGGGCAAGAGCAGGTGTGCTTGGGGCCCACGGGGAAGGGAGGCCGCAGGAGGCCTCAGGGACCACACAGGCCTTCGCCGTGTGGGGCTCGGCGTATGGAGCCGAGATGGGATCTTGTTTCTGCATGCAGAGGCCCCGCTCATATCCAGGTGGCTGGTGGCTTGGAGCAGGTGGCAGCACTGGGGCGAGAAGCTGCTGGACTGACAGCGGCCTCGACAGGGCTTCTGATGAATGGGATGAGAGGGAGGAGGGAGTCAAAGGTGAAGCCAGGGCTTAGGAGCCATGAAGCTGGGGACAGAGCAGACCATTAGTGCAGACGGAGAAGACCCTAGCAGGAGCACGTCTGCTTTGGCAGGGGCAGGGCTCGTGGCAGGGAACTGCCATGCAAGCCTGGACACAGTGACGGTCTATGGGGCGAGACCAGGATGCCCAGAGGGCAGTGGGACACAGGTCAGGCTGGAGACTACGGCGTAGGCATCTCAAGCTGGGGGTGGGCCAGCTTCTGGACAACACTTCATCTGTGAGGTAGCATGGACTCACCTGGACATAGACTGTCCTTGGAGGGCAAAAGGATTCTAAGAGCCCTGAAGGCTGAGAAGCTTAGAAATGAGAGGGCGCCAGGTGTGGTGGCATACGCTGGTCATCCCAGCACTCAGGAGGCTGAGGCAGGAGGACTGCCATGAGTTTGAGGCCAGCCTGGGGGCATAGCAAGTTTGACAGCCTGCACCACGTAGTGAGACCCTGTCTCAAAATAAACAAAAAAGAAAAGAGAACGAACAGTTGCTGGGGCAGGCAGAGAGGGGAGCGGGCAAGGGATCCTAGAAGCATAGAAATCATCAGCCACTGCTGAAAGGCCAAGTCACAAGACGGCTGAGACTCAGCGGCCAGAAGTGGTCACCTCAGGATCCCTGGTAGCTCTGCCAGGGCTGCTTGGTGAAGACCTATGTGCAGGTGGCATGGGACAAAGGAAGGGGGAACCGGACGCAGGGACTCAGAGAAGGGGAGATTGCTGGTGCGAGAGAGTCGGGGAAGCCCTGGCGGACTCACTGAGCAGGGAGGAGGTGGTAGCTTCCAGATGGCATTGCGTGGCTGTGTCTTCAAACTGAGGCCCCCCTAGCAGCGGCCTTGGCAGTCACAGGCCAGTGGAGGTGGCGCTGGCCGCCACCGAGGGCCACCACGGCCAGTGTGCACGCTGCTCTGCAGCCCAGGGGAGAGGGCCAGGCTCTCATCAGGGCAGGGGTTCCACGGTGAAGTACGCTGCAGCGGGCGGACGTGCCAGCTCTAGTGCCCAGTGATCTCAGCCAGCACCGTTTGTGTGCCGCTGTGGCTGGCACTGGTAATCAGAGGACTTTAGTGGAAGGACACTATCATTCACAAGGTGGGTGGGCTGCAGCCAGTCGGGTAAAGGCCTCAGAAACAAAACTGAGGCCCGGGTTGTGCCATGAACCCCTGCCTGAGTTTCCTGTCTGGCCTACACATCAGACTCACCTAGCCAGCCCCCTCAGTCCCACACGGCAGCTCCCTGCATCGCGTCAGCCTTCCTCACATTGGGCCACCTACTATATGATTCCATTTTTAGGGAATTTCCAGAACAGGAAGGATCAGCGGCTGAAGCCAATAAGTGGTTGATGGGGGCTGGGGGCGACAGGGAGAAGGAACAGCAAGTGAGCGGTACAGGGTTTCCATTAGAGGTGATGAGCTGTTCTGGAGTTAGAGAGGGGAAAGGCTGTACGGCTCTGCATGCGCAAGAGCACAACCTGCACCTGCTTCCCTACTGTGAAGCTGACGGCATGAGAGCCACAGCTCTGGCAAACAACGTGGATGCCCTGGGGCCCAGCATCTGTACTACAGCCCATGACATCCTGGGCAACCTTTCTGTCATCTTTTCTTTCTTTTTTTTTTTTTTTTGCAGTACTGGAGATTGAACCCCAGGGCCTTTGCACTGAGCCAAATCTCTAGCCTTTTTTTCTCCTTTTTATTTATTTATATATTTTTTTGTCTTTTTGAGACAAGGTTTCACTATGTAGCCCAGGCTGGCCTGGAACTCTCGGCGATCATCCTGCTTCAGCCACCTGAGTGCTGGGATGACAAGCATGTGCCACTGCACCTGGCTTTGTAATGGCTTCTTGGCACACAGCCACATCTGTTCCTTAAAGTGTGGACTGTGCGTGCGGCCATGCTTCTGTGACAGCAGAGTTGTTGTGATGTGGAAGTTACTCATTCTAAGTAGTAATAATTCGGGGTGTGTTAAAGTCTTTCCTATGACTTTTCAACTTTTCAAAACAAAGGAATGACCCCTGAGCACGGGGAGTGGCGCGGTTTCCCTTGGGCAACTGTGGGTTCTTTACCTTTTGGCTGCAGAGGTCACCGAGGAAGAAGCGTACGCGGGGATTATCAAAGCCTTGGCGGATGTCGAACACGTTGACGCTGTAACCTCTGGCCAGAAGCTGCTCCACCATGTGCTGGCCCAGGAACCCGGAGCCTCCGATCACCGTGCACTTCGGAGCCTGTGTAAAGAGAGGGGTGGCCAGAGGTCCAAGTGTGAGAGGACCAGGAGCTAGGAAGAGCCCTGGCTGACGTGCCATGAGCGCACTGGAAACCCTGCCTGAGCCCAGGTGGAAGCTTTACGTAATTCCAGGGCTGCTACCAGTGTCACCTCCTCCCCTGGGATCGGCAAGGCAGGGAGAGAGAGTGGCTGATCCTCAGATAGACCCTGTCGGCTTTGACGGCACGATCGAAGCTCTGCAGTTAGGGAAAGGAAGTTAAACCACCTAGGATCAAACTGGCTCATCTGGGAAAAAAAGGAAAGAAACCAAAGGGGATACCTTCTTGTTCCTGAGATCCGATCTGCTCCCTGGGCATTCGCTTAAGGCAAAAAAGCCAAGCAGCCATCTGACAGCTTGGGCTCCATGCAGAGGAAACCGCAGCCCCTCTCCGCCCTGACAGCCTGGGCAGGACTCACTGTGTGCCCCTTCCAGTCTCAGCCCAGCCACCGAAGACCACCCTGATGGCCTGCTGGGGGTGCAGACACACTGAGGGCGCAGCTCACCACTCAGGCCCAGGGCTCTGCTTTCCTTTTGAGGAAACGCCCGGGCCAGGAGGACTGATGTGCTTACTGGAATGGCTGGCTCGGGGACAGGCGGGGGACAGCACAGGCTCCGCTCCTCAGTGCCACCCCCCCGGGGCCAAAACACACTGACTGTCACCTGCTGGATAATCTGGCCCTCCTCCCCAGAGTATTTCCATAACTTGATCTGGGGCTTCTTAACATGAACCCCCATTTTTGTTAGCCTGCCAGGTAAAGCTGCAATGGCCCGTGGCTTGGCTGTTTCTTTCTTCTCAAAAGCTATCACCGGAACACGCCTCACTGCAACGCTTATATTATCTCTGTAGGAAAATGAGTAATTCTGATCCCAACTTTATTTCCTAAGAAAGTGAAAATAATCCATGAAGAAAAGTGTCTAATCGTTTCAGAGCGGTTTATTTTTAAAGCCCCGTATCTACTACATGTCTAATATTTGGGAGCTTCTACAAAATGTTCCCTGTAAAATAAAAATGTACAGGTGTGGGCATAACCTTGTTAGTAAAACTTTAACTGACTGCACTTTGCAGTGACTGACTCATAAAAAGCAATTCCTTGCCTATTCAGCAACATGTGCAAATAATGTTTAACAATAAATGTGCAAATAATAACAATAGTAATATGTAATAATAATTTAATAATAATAAGTAAGAAAATGATGTCGGTCACTTGGTTTTTCCCCTAACCCTTCCGGTTTTCTCTTTAGCAGAATTTATTTCCTAGAGGTCCTGTGCAAAGACATATATATAAGTCAATACACCAACGTTCTCTTTTAGTAGTTCACTTTTAGAACTTTTTTCCCTAGGAATTCAATCTATGAGAGAAAAGAAGCTATCTTGAAAAATACACAGATTTGAAACCTGATGACAATGGCAGTTTGTGTGACTTTTTTGGTTGCCAAACAGCAATAAAATCTTAATTTCACAGACTCCTGCTAGCAAATACTTTCAGCCACAGACGCCCGGGGGACGCTTTGTTCTGAGCTGTCCCCAAAACAGGGGCCTCCTGCATCTTTCCCTCGCTAACGCCAACGTTTGGCGGGAATACACTTCACCTCGATGTGATTCCATTATTGAAGCGGGACATCCAGTAAGAGTGAGTCCAACCGAGCCCCTGTGGATCTGTGTGAAAAGTGTCCAAGAGGCCCGACACCTACCGGGCTCAATGACTCCTTCAAGTCCCTTCTGAGACCCGTGACACTGGATCTCAGGAGACCTAGCAATGGTCACTGTCGCTCCAGGAAGACTTCTTCCACTCCACCAGGAGGCCCAGTCAAGCTTACTGGAGGCCGCGTAACAGCACGCCAGGATGCCCAGCTGACAGCCAAGAGCCACTGCCACACGTGTGAGCAAAGCCACCTGGGGACAGACACCTTGGGTGCCCCCACGGGACTGCCGCTGCATGGCTACGCCCCGAGGAGACCAGCCAACACCCCCAGCCAGGCCTGGCCCCAGCTCAGTCTGGAGCAAAGAAATCGCTGTTCTTTGAAGCCACTGCATTCTGAGGTGTCCATTACACAGCAAAAAGTAGCTGATCTATCTTAACGAAAGACATACCCAGCACGAATGGACTTAATAAGTGAATTACATACACTTTTTAATGCACAGGCGGGTATCAGTGGCTTTCCGGTATGTACGTTCTCAACTCTCCCTACCTACTGCGCGCGGCCATTTTTACGGCAGTACTCACTTTGCCAATGGTCCCTGTCACACGCGTCCGTGGGACCTGGTCTCTCACGGGTTCACTGGCTGCTTGTTCCATGATGGCTCAAACTACGGTCTTGTTTGCAATCAAGTTTTCTTCGTCCTAAAACATATTTAGAGATGGACACTAATGTTACACAAACGAAAACAACTTTAGCTGCTGGTGTTTGGGGATGGATGCTACCTCCTCTGCTGTATTTTCACTGTAACACTCGGATCAGAGGCAGGAGAGGCAGCTACTTAAGCTCAGCCACCAGTCACCACGAGAGCATCACCTGCACTGCTGCTCTTGCAGGGCACTCACGCTTCAATTACTCCGGCCTCCTCTTAGGTGCTCTAGGGAGGCCCGGGTTCCAGGTGCGCTTCTCACATCAGCTGCACAAACCTGCTCTACTCACTTTTATTTGCTGCGGCTCAGTTTGCCCACCAATGAAATGGACTTGAGCATTCATCTCTGGGATGTCAGGGCATAGAATGCTGCAGCAGAGGTAGGCAGAGGATGACAGACACAATTCTCCTGCTTGGTAAGTTAAAGTCATCTTAGCCAAGCAAGGTGGTGCATGTCTCTGATCCTAGCACTCTGGGAGGCTGAGGCAGGAGGATTACAAGTTTGAGTCCAGCCTGAGCAACTTAGTGACTTAGTAAGACCCTGTCTTAAAATAAAAAAATAAAAAAGGGCTGGGGATATAATTCAGCATGAAGGCCCTGGGTACTACCAACCAAACCAAACCAAACCAAACGAAAAGAGAACACGTTAAAGCCACCCTGACCTCCTGACTATGGAAGAGCCCAGAGTATCAGAGTATCTGGGTCCTTAAGAAACTCCCAGGAATTGGTCAAATCCTGCTGGGAACCATGCAGTTGACAACCGGAAGACAGAAGAAAGTCAAGGCCTCCTGGCCAGTCCTTGGGGTGTGCTCCTGCCTTCCTTTACCCACCAGCGCTGAGTCACAAACACAAAGAAGCCACGTATCTCTGCAGTATTTGGTTCTCCTTCCCTTTGTCCCACAGTCCCCTGCACACTGCCAGGGGTCCTTTCCATTGTTCAGCCCCAGACACCAGGGGCTGGGATCGCTTCCTTCAGCTCACTGAGTAGCACGGCCCAAGCAGCTCCCCACCACCCCACACAGCCGCCAGCTGCCCAGGCCCCTCCGCAAGCTCTCCAGGCAGAGGGCTTTGGGGTGTGGTGGTGCCACAGCATGCCCTTGTAACCCCAACAGCCCTCTGGCAGCTTCTCATCTCATGTAACCAGCACCTCACAGAAACAAGCAAATGAGAAGACAGACGGCATTCACGGGGGTCAAGGAGGCCCCCACATCCGGCTTCCTCTCCCACCAAGGTGACTGCGGACCTCTGCTAGCAGGGACTGCTGAGACAGTGTGCCTGGGGCTATGACGGTGTCCTGCCCACTGGCCTGTGGGATCCCCACACTGGCCAACCAGGCCAAGCCTGCCTACCCGAGAGGGGTCTGCTCCTGGGGGCCTCTGCCCTCCCGCCCCAGCTGCCCTCTGCCTGTGCAAAGCACAGCTCCCTCCCTTCTTCAGTGCAGCTGGTTGGCAATGGTGAACGAATCCGGAGCCTACTGCCTGGGTTCTGGTCCCGGCTCTGCGTCTTACCAGCAGGAATCCCTCTGGGCAGGGATTTCAGAGACCTGGGCCTGCCTCTTCATCTGTAAAACGAATAGCCTCATAAGGTCATTACGAGGCTTAAATAAAAGTAAATGAGAAAAATGTATGCAAAGCCCCCAGTGCAGTGCCAAGTGCCTGTTAACACTCCATTAAATGCAGCTATTATTATTGTCATCGTGCATCTCCACCCCTCTGCAGCACACTCCCCTCCCCGCCTCCTGGATGCTTCTCCGTGATCCCTCGCTGCGCTATAGCTCTGCTGCTCGCTTGCAGCCCTGGGGTTTAAGCCCCCCTGAAGGTGGCTCCTAGGCCTCCCGGCCAGATGCTCCCTGAGCTACAGACAACAGAGAAGTTCTGAAAAGCATGTGTGCGGGGAGGTGCAGAAGTACACAGCATGCATCTCCCCGGGCAAGGCCCCGGGTTGGATCCCCAGTACCACAGACAGGAGTGTGAGACGGGAAACTTGGGGAGGAAGGACTACTTCCTCCTCCTGCCTCTTTCAAGGAATAGGATGAAGAATGAGCCTGAAGTGCTTCACTAAGTTCTTAACTAGAGCGAAACAGAGATTTAACTGGGTCCCTTGCCTTAAGCTTTGCATGAGAAGTAGGGAAAGAATGGGCCAACAGAGGGCTTGTTTGGGGTTTAAGGATAATCAAAATCTAAGCTATGGCCTTTCAGTGGCCGGGAGGAAGATAAGGACTTCTCCTCTAAAAGATCTCTGCAACAGTCCCGGGGTAGGAATGCTTTGGCATCTGAGGGCCAGAGTGGGTTTGTAGATTTAAGCCTTGGCACCAGACCACTCGTTTCAAAAGAATCAGAGGAGAAAAGTCATCTCCAGGGACATCCATCACCACAGAGGTGGCGCTCAGGGAAAGGGGCCGACCAGAAGCGGACTCTGTCAATGAAGGGGCTCCATCCTGACGCACAAAACACTGCTGGACCACGATGGTGGGGCGAGCAGTGGCTCCCAAGACATCCAGCCACACCCTGAGCCCTGGAATCTGCGAATGTGCCCTTCCATGGAAAAACGGTCTTTGTAGATGCAGGGGTGATAGGGCGGTTATTCTGGTGGGTCCTAAACTCAAGGACAGGTGTTCTTACAAGAGGTACACTTTTTACAAGAGGAGAGACAGGGAGAAGAGGAGGCCATGAGAAGACAGAGGCAGAGATTGGGGTGATGTAACAAGTCCAGGAACGCCTGGGGCCAACGGAAGCCAGGAGGGGCAAGGAAGGAGTCTTCCCTACAGACTGTGAGGGAGAGTGGACCAGATGACACTTTGGCTTTAGACTTCTGGTCTCCAGAACTGGAAGAGAATCAATTTCTGTTGCTTCCAATCACGCAGTGTGTGGTCAGTTGTTACAGCATACCCAGGAAACGAATGCAAGTATCCTCTGTGGTCCTGAGTCCAAATAGTGCAGCTGCCAGTCCCGTAGCTCCTCCTGTGTTGCTAGCAAAAGCAGGACACCGCAGAGCCTATTCCCCTCCTTGCTTGCTAGAGGAGGGTGTAGGCGGTGAGAGCAGAAACAGATCCTGCCCCAGGGCAGTGGCCCCACTGAAACAATGGTCACACCATTCTTAGCGAACCAGCCTCCTGTCAACACAAAACATACAGTCGTCTCCAATTCCATACCAATTCTTTTAAAGTTTGTAAATACTTGAGTCAGACAATTGGACTGATAGCTTAGCTATCTCTAGGGTACGAGATGTGCAGGACTAACCTAGAAAATGAATCAAATCCCATTGGCAACCCCTCTCCCCTGGCCACCTACTTAAATTTACCACGTGTTATATTACTGAGGAAATATCAGGAAAGATTGATCCATTTCCAAAGAAGATATTCTTTTTTCTTTTTTTCGTCCTTTTGAGACAGGGTCTTGCTATGAGGTTCAGGCTGGCCTTGAGCTCACTTTGTAGCCCAGGTTGGCCTCGAACTTGCAACGATCCTCCTGCCTCAGCCTCCCGAGTGCTGTGATTACAGGCATGGGCCACCACACCCAGCTTAGATATTCTTTACAGATGGCCAAAAGACATACAAAAGGGGGTTCAATAACACTCATCTCTGGGGAAACTCAAATCTAAACCACAAGGAGACACCACCTTACACCCTGTACCCATTAACATGGCTACTATCACAAGCCAGAAAGTAGAAAACAAGTGTTGGTGAGAATGTGGAGAAGCTAGAAGCCTCCTCCTGTGCTGTCGACCGTGTAGTGCAAAACGGCACAGCCACTGTGGGAAGCAGTGTGGCAGTTCTTCAGAAAATTATACTTACAACTAGCATCTGACCCAGCGGTTCACTTGTGGGTATATGCCCCTCCCAAGGAAAACAGGGACTTGGAGCAGATATTTATACACCCCTGTTCACAGCAGCATTATTCATTAGCCCAAAGGTGGAAGCAACCTGGGTATCTACTGACGAAGAATGGATAAACAAAATGTGGTCTAACTATACCGTGGAATCTTATGCGGCCATAAAAATGAATGACGTTCTGTCACACCCTACAACCTGGATGAACCCCGACGACATGATGCGCAGTGAAGTAAGAGCACCACAAAAGAACACATGTAGTCTGACTGCGTGCACATGAGCTGCCTACAGTAGTCAGACTTGTGGAGACCGGCAGGCGGATGGTTAGTTACCAGGGGCTGGTGGGAGGGGGAACGGGGAATGACTGCTGAGGGTACTGAGCTTCAGTTTCCAACAGGACGGGGCACTGCTGATGGTGGAGCTTCCGTGCGAACGTATTTACTGCCAATGAAGCGTATACCCCCAAACAGTTAAAATGTAATTTTCTGTTGAGTCTATTTATTTTACCATACACATTCCCAGACGAATAGAAAGGTTCTGAACTAGCGGAAACATGAGCCCCGAAAGTAATGTTCTAGGCTGGCGCATTGTGAAGACTCAGACAAGCATCAGAAGCCTCAGGTCTGTTTCCTTTAGAATGAGAGCTCTTTGCATCCATTTAAAATCAAGACGTGTACCTACCCTATGCTTTGGGACAGTCTTCGGCGAACAGAAATCTCAGGAAAGAGGCCCATATTGTACCGGGGAAATCCAAGAGACCCTGCTGGGAACATTCCAGGCCACTTAGTCCCGGAGACAAAGGGAGGAACAGTCTGCTTCTTTCAAACCAGACAGAGAGATGAGTGTCCCTCCTTTTAGGAAGTGAGTCTCCCCTTTCAGAAATCAAAGACTTGACACAGGAAAACAAACACGTGGACCAGGGTCAGTGAGGCCAATGGTTAGGGGGCATCTGCCTTGTGAGGCCTCAGGTGAGCCATCGCGGCGCTGCCACAACCCAGCTCCCTGGGTCCCTTCCCAGACCTGCCAGATCGGTATGCTTCTGTCAGCGAGTCCTTTCTCTGCGTGTCTATCTTTAGGGCACAGAACATGCCCAGTTGTGAATTTCTGGCGGGCCGCTCGGGCGCCACTCAGCACGCCTGTGTGCTTAGCTCCCATTCCCTTTCCCCCTCCTCGGCTGCTGTGTCCCCCAGCGGCTTGCTCAACTGCCCCCTCTGTAACAACCCCCAAGCCAGGAGGGCTGAGCTGCTTCTTCAGCCCTGTTGTGGCTCTCACTGTGACACTGCAGGGTCACGGCCACGTCCGAGCTGCTGGGGGGCTCACGTGCGCCCCAGGGATACAAGGGGAACTGGAATTTGCGGCATCATCCACACATTCATTCTTCAGGAACAAACACAGCTTCTACCGTCAGGGAGTCCACCATGTCCCACGGGCCCCTAGGAATCACGAGGAGCTGCGGGGTGCCCTGGAGCAAAGGAGGCGCTGAACCCGTGTGTGCTGCTGGTCAGAGGAGGCAAGCAGGAAGCCAAGTTCGATGGCCTTAGAGGAGTCAAACAGGAGGTGTCGGTACCTTAAAAGACAGTCTGTGGCCAGGGATGGCAAGAACAAGCTGTTGGCACAGAGCCAGTGTGCTTTGATAATGCTACCAATTGTGTCACAGCGAGTATGGAGTAAGTCTGGGATCAAAGGTGACAAAATGCAGGAGCTACGTGCCCTTGGAAGTTGTAGATGGGGTGGCTGCTCAGACTACAGCATAGAGAAGGGACTTTTGCCAAGCCTAATGCCCTCCGTATGCCCAGTTGGGGGTGGGGTATGAGCAAATCAGACAAGAATTAACACTGTCCGAGACGTGCGCAGTGTCAGGACTTTCACATGTGAGCACATTATCCATTAAGATACAAAAGGTATCCAATCAGGCAGACAGTACAGTCACACTCGACAGATGAGGAACCTAGGCTCAGAGAGGTCGAGGGACTTGCCCAGCCCCACACAGCCAGCACAAAGCCCAGGCACAATTTGCATGTGCTCCTTCTACTGGCTGGGCTGCCACCCTGCAGACTGCCTGGGAAGCAGGGTGTGCTAGGTCTCTGCTGCTGTGACAAAGTGCCTGAGATAATCAACTTCGACAGAGGAAAGGTTTACTGTGGTTCCCAGTTGAGGTGCGTGGTGAGTTGAGCCTGCCGCTTTGGGCCTGCAGCAGCACGGCAGCACATCATGGCAGGAGTGTGCAGGGGAGGAAGCTGGGAACTGCTGGGCAGGAAGCAAAAAGAGAGAGGATGGGCCTGGGATTCCAACACTCCCTGCAAGGACTTGACTCCCCCAGAGACTAACTTCCTTTCACTAAGCCCCACCTCTGGAGAGTGCCACCAGCCTCTGCAGGCATCTAAGAGCCAAAATAGAGGATGGAGTACAGAGGGACAAATCCGGGGCAAAATTGGGCAGGAGGCTCACAAGGATTTTACCCCACATAAAACGGCCTCTGAAGGTTTACAAGCAGCCCTGACCTGAGCAGAGCTATGCACTGGGAAGATTAACCTGATGGAGCAGCGGGGAGCGCAGAGATGAGAACTGGGAAATGGGGAGAAAGGGTCAGTCATTTGACGGGGGTTTACTGAGCACCTAGTACGTGCCCATCCTGTTCCAGATTTCCAGGTACTGCAAGGTCAGCAGCGAACGGAGCACAGATGCCTGCCCTCATAGCACCTGCTTTCTGGTGAAGGGGCAACAAAGAACCAAATAAGTAAAATCTACAGTTGATAAGCACAAAAGGAAAATGCAGAGCAAGGTGATGGGTTTGGCTGTACAGCAGTGCCGGGGTCGGGGGCTGCACCACACAGTGCTTAGGGGTCCTCGGAGAAAAGGTGATCGCTTGGGGAAACCCCCAGGGGGGAAAGACGGGAGGCCCGGCAGTCAGAAGGGACAGTGGGGCAAAAACTCCAGGGAACAGTGTGCCTGGCATGTGAGTGTCCTGAGGCTGGAGCCAGGGGCCAGACAGGAAGAGGACAGAGGTCGTGGGGCTGGTGGGAGGGCACACCATGCCAGGCTCCACGGACCATGGGACAGCGCCGCTCACAGGAGCAGTTGAGGGGCTGCTGATGAAGGCCACAGAGCAGCCAAGGCGGAAAAGACGGCATTTCAGGGACAAAGCAGAAAAAACTTCTAGGCTGGATACTGGGGACAGAACGGGGGAAGGAAAGAGTCAAATGTGAGCAAAGTTGTTGCATCTTGTTCAGTGCTCAGAGGGGAAGAGGGCAGAGGGCAGTTCCATTTATGGGATGCCAGGAGGTCTCAGGCCTTTCTTAGCCGGAGAAACTGCTGCGTCCTCGACCTCCCTGATCACCGCCCTAAAACCTGCAGGAGAAGCAGGGCGAGTGAGTCAGGAGTTGGCCGAGGAGGGCGGGCCGCGGGCTCCAGCTCCACGTGGACAGCCCTGTCCCAGCCCACACTCCTGCAAACGCTCCCTTTTAAAGCCCCCAGCACCCCGCTCCCTCCCCAGACCTCGGCGACTGCTCCGGAGGCGCCTGGGCCGGCGACGGTGTTCCCGGTCCTCCACAAGCCTTGGGTGGCAGAGGACGATAACCTCTCTGGAGAATCTCGCCCGGAAAACACGGACCCCAGTAACTCGTCCTCCCGTCCTGCCCTGCAACCGACACCAGGCGGCCATCAGAGGCAAGGCCACGACCCTTACCTGCCAGTGGGCGCCCTCCGGCCGGCCTCAGCTTCTCCGCTGGCCGCTCCCGCTGCTCTCTGGCCCGGATAGCCTCCCTTTTCCTCCCCGCCCTTGTGAGCTGAGAATCGGCCGAGCTTCCTCGACCAAGGGGATTGGCTCGGTCTGGCTCCAGTTCAGCCAATCGGCGCTCACAGCGTGATTTTGTCCAATGACGCCAGTTCTCAGACGCTAGGGCTCCCCCCTGCCCTGGGCTGGGGCTTTGCCAGGTGAGTCCCACCCACCACGGCCCTGCGCCAATGGGAAGCGAGGCCGCGCGCACAGGGCGGTGGGAAGGGCGCCGAGTCGGTGCGTACGCCGTTGCCGTAACGACGGCCCTGGAGCCCGTCGGCAATGGTAAGTGCTGGCCGCGCCTTCCCGCCTCGGCCGCCTGACTTAGCCCTTCCCAGGCCCGGCTCAGGCCTTGCCGCCTCTTGTGCACCTTTCTCTGGTTTGGCGTACTCGGTGTTCCTTTGAGCTCTATCCCGGAAGTGTAGGGTGGAGACTAGAGATGCCAGTCGCCTGGCTGGGCCTTCGTTTCCCATCGCTGCCCCTCACCCACAGCCGGCTCCTAGCCGGCCCGCGGGCTCCTTTGGCCTTCCCCGAATCCCCTCGGTAGCTCTCCCTGTGCAAAGAAATCTCCGGTTCTCCGTGGGCCCCGACCCCTCTCAGACCTGGCCTGCTGGCCGCCACGCTCTACCAAAGTTTTCGCACAGAGCTGGGAGATTTACTATGTCGATAGTTAACGTGTATTTTGCAATTTCAGCCTGGGGCATTCAGGAGCTGCTTCGAGCTTTTTGGAGAAAGCACTGAGGTGCTGAGTCGATTGGGTTTTATTACTCGGTATTGAAAGAATACGTATCTTAACATTTGGTCAAATTGAGCAGTAATTTCAAAGTCAGAACTGGTTGTGCAAAGCAGAGTTCTGAGAGTGGGCATCGCAAGGGTATTTCCAGAATAAAGACCCTCGGGTTGAGGGCTCGTTGAGCATCTCTGGTTATCCAGAGTCAGTTCCCTGGCTAGCTCTCCCTGGGGAGAATTTTCAAGAACAAGGGATCTCCTTCTAAAAACAATAGGAAAGAAAAGAAGAATACAAGTTTGTGGAAAGATTAATCGTCCGCTGCCCCAGCAAACTCTGTTATCTTTCTTGTTTAGCAGAGCTTTAGAATTGGTTGGCATAAACTATTTTAAAAATAGATATGGGTGTTTAAAACTATCTTACATAAAATACGGACTGTGTTACTTAATATTGTGCTCACGTGTTTAACGTTTAAAGGCCTCCAATTTTAAAAAGGCAAGCGTGGCCTCAAGTGCCCAGAGAAAAAGGATGAGTCCTAAGCCAGAGCTAACTGAAGAGCAGAAACAGGAAATCCGGGAAGCTTTTGATCTCTTTGATGCGGATGGGACTGGCACCATCGATGTAAAGGAACTAAAGGTGAATTCTTCACATTCCGAGGGACCACCTTGCCCTTCCTCTGCCTGTGTCCTCTTCTCCCTGTCACCATTCTCCGTTTTGCCTCTTCCCCCTGCAGAAGTAACCAGGAAGGATACGCTGTGCTCTTTTCCTGTTTTTACTTAACTCAAGTGTTACTAAAGTTGAGTGCAAATACCAATTAGGGCAACGCTGTTATTTTCCCCAGTCAGATGCTGGGTTAAAACCTTTAACAGTTCGTTTTGCTCCTGCTTGGTTTCCCCGTGCTTATTGAGATGATCCATTTTCATTGCAGGTGGCAATGAGAGCCCTGGGCTTTGAGCCTAAGAAAGAAGAAATCAAGAAAATGATAAGCGAGATTGATAAGGAGGGGACAGGCAAAATGAACTTCGGTGACTTTCTGACTGTGATGACTCAGAAAATGGTAAGTTAACTGAGATGATGAGCAGATTTTCCACCATAAAGGTCGATACGTTTGACTCTAGATATGAAAATAGCTTCACTGAAGAAACGTCAGTACACTCTAGAGCTTATCTAATAAAAGATAGTGTTTTCCCCTGAGCTTTAGCTCGCAAAGCTACGGAAATCGTTTTACCCGCTGTAAAGCAGTAAAAGGACTACTGCTTTCACTTGTGGGCTACTATCTTTCTCCAGCTGATAGGTCAACGTGATAACTAAAGCAGGAAAACCTATAAACACCAAACATTTTTAAATGCTTTTCATTTTGACAGTCCCCGGCCCACATACTTTAAAACTCTTCTCTTTAGGTGTTTTATTCGGGCAGCTCAGCCTGAGGGGTAGCTGCTTCAGCAGCTGTGCTTTTTACTGCAGTGGAGATATAGGTTTTCAGCATTTCTAAGGTTGCATTCATCAGTTCCCTGGTTCTCAGGTGTCAGCCTGTGTGCAAAGGGTTGAAAGAGCATAAGCTGTCACCCCCGTGGGACCAGCATCTAAGGCCTTGCGCTTTCACTGGCCTCCGGGTTCTCTTTATTCTGGCTCATATTCCCTCTCTCTGCCTGTGGAAAGCTGACCGCCCCCCAGGGTCCCAGGTATTTTTCCTGAGGTGGGGGTCATACGCCTTTCTCTAACGATTGTGTTGCTTTGAAATCATCTAATCATCCTCCATTTTTCTTTGTGGACTGATGTTTAGGAGATTAGGAGGCTCAACGTTCTGTAACCATCTAGTAGAGCTATCCCCTATTTGTGGGTGGTTTCAGATCCTGGTATTAGGGGCTCTCTCCGTTTTTAGCCCAGGGCAGGTGCCTTTCAGGGTATTGGGATATGAGCTCCTGGAGACTTTACTTTGTTCTTTTGTAAGGGTACTCAGGGCCTCAGGCACTCTCTGCAAACCAGTAGGTAAAGTAGCCCTCTGTCCTCCCCGCATTCTCTGTCCACCAAGAGGATCTCCTTTCTGCCCGCTTGCTTAAGTAGGGTTTCCCGCCCTAATTTTAACTCTATTCCCTTCTATATTTTAACAATGAATCCAGTATCTCTGGTTTATAAAGACAGAATGTTTTAGGGGCAACCCTTAATCTTTCCGTTTTGACCTCTGGCTTTATCATAACTTTGCTAAGTTGTCCTCTTGATCTACCCCAGATGATATTTGCTGTCCTGTGACCTAGGACGTGGGTCATGAAGGCCATTGCTGAGACCCTGTACCCTTAAAGTAGGACAGGGTGGGGCAGGTAGGGAATGAATCCAAGGTCATGCCCTTACAAGCCCATCCTTGGAGTCAGAATTGGGGACACTTTTGAACAAGAGAAGTAGAGCACAGTTCAGAACAGCTGGTGTAGACACATAGTGGTAGCTGATGGCCTGCACTGAAAGGCTAAGCTAGGCTTCACTGCAGAGACCCACAGCCTGTGCCTACGAGAGGTCCCGAGGCCGTGCAGCAAGGCAGCCTGTGCTTTGCACCCGGTCCAAGTCCTTGCGCCCGTCTGTTGAGATTTCAGAACACATCCCTTCCCCTGACTTCAGAGCTGGTAATAAAATGTGGGCTACAGCAGTAGGTAGGGACATGAATGCTTGCCTCAAGTCCAGTCTTGAGTTACGGAAAAAGAGAGGGAAGGTGAGCAGGCAGAGGCAGGGCCACAGGACCTGAGTTACTGTGAGGCTCCCCTGCTCATGTATTCTATGTTCTACTTGTTCAGTCTGAGAAAGATACCAAGGAAGAAATCCTGAAAGCTTTCAAGCTTTTCGATGATGATGAAACCGGGAAGATATCGTTCAAAAATCTGAAGCGCGTGGCCAAGGAGTTGGGCGAGAACCTGACTGATGAGGAGCTCCAGGTGTGTAATGCCTCAGTCCAGAGCTCAGCTCCTGCCTCTGAGCCCCTGGGCTCTGCTGAGTTCCTTTTCCACTGGCAGAAGTGTCCTCTTTCCCCTGTGGTGACAGTTCTTTGCGAATCTCACAAACCCATGACCCTCCTTCCAGAAAAATGCACCTGTTGGCAGTGAGCCTCACTAGTCCAGGCGACCCTCACGCTCCCTTCCGGCTGGTGTGTATGACGTGTGACTTGCTTTGCAAATAGCTTCCCAGGAAACAAGCTACCCTAAAAAATGGCACATCTGCATTTGGTGGCCTGCCGCAGTCCCTGCACACAACCTTCTGAGAGGCCTGTTGCTTAACAGCCTTTAGTTTAGGAATGAACCTAACCTGAATCCTTCCCGTCACGCAGGAGATGATTGATGAAGCCGATCGAGATGGAGATGGAGAGGTCAACGAGCAGGAGTTCCTGCGCATCATGAAGAAGACCAGCCTCTATTGAGGCCGGTGTGGTCCGTCCTGCTGCAAGCACACGTGACTAGATGAGTGCCTGCTGTCCTGTGAAATCTGGCTCCCCATTTCCCTGTAGAACTTCAGCCATGACCTCGAACCTATTTTGGACTTTTGGAAGTGTTCTTTGATATTAAAGTTCTTTGTAAAATGATCTGCTGATTAATTCTTGAAAGCAGAACGAGAGCACATCAGTACGGGGAAGGGTCTGGGGGTCGCCCAGCGGCCAGTTGTCCTGGCCTCGCTGCACCTTCCGAGCTACGCACGTGTGTGGCTGGGTCACCACCGGCTGTGACCCCTTCTCAATGGTTCCCCTACTCACCTGATGCCTGAGTGCCGTCTTCTCTTTTGCAAAACCCAGTGAATCCTTGCTCTGGCATTTGGATGTGTGTTAATGTTGTTTCTTTTGTCTTCAAAATAAAACTTTTCTCAGTCTGAGCTTTCATTCTCTAAGGATGAGTTCTTTTGCTTTGACTCTGAGTTCATTTTCTAAACAGCTGTGTTGAAGGCAGGCTGGTAGATCCAAAACTCTACTGGCCTGTGGACGAACAGGAAGTAACCCTTTGCAACTGTCCCGGCAGGAGTCCTTTCTTGCTTTGGGAACCTGTGGGTTTATAAAACTAACACAATTCCCATTCCACCAAAATCTAAACAATGCACTAGGAAGTCCCACAGAAATATAAAGCTGAAAAAGAGCCTTGTGGGTAATTTGTGCTTGGACAGAAGGGAGAGAGCCAGGCTACAGCAGCGACAGGGTGGATTTGGCCAATTTGTGGTTCATGTCCTTAGAATGTCTCCCGGACTCTTGGAGTTGGGAAGGAAGACCTCGTTTGGCTGCCTCGGGGCCCCGTATGGGATCACCCGCTAGAGGAGAGCCCGGAGAGGATGGGCTCTCAGACTTTGGCAGGCATCCTACTTCCCTGGGGATAGAGTCGCCTGATTTAGCAAATGAAAAGAGAACAGCTAGTAATTTCGAATCAGATCAACAATGGATCGCACACAAGCTTCTAAGTATTCAGCAGTTCCTTTGTATATCCTATTTGGCCTTCCTGCTGTTGGCTGTTGATGTGAAATTCACACTTACCTGGGCATCCTGTCGTTCCCACTGGCAACCCTACGTGAGCAGCACGTCAGGAGCTGCACCCGGGCACTGGAGGGCTCGGCACAGCACCGTGGACAGTGTCACCACCCCCGCCCCCGGCTAAGTACCCCACAGTGGGAGGGGGGAGCCCGTGCCCGCCTGTGCCCTGGCGTCTCACCCCAGCTCTACTCCCTCCAGGATGGGCCATTTGGGGCAATCTACCTCTCTGCGTGCCTCAGGCTCCTTGTCCATAGGATGCGGAGGCGAGTTGTGTTAAACTACAATTGCTGGGGGTCAGATAAACACACAAGAAACCTGACTTTGTGGTGGTCAAGAATGAGGTGTTTCAGAAATGTCTATTCTCGGTGCCCTCATTCTTCTGTTGTGGCTATCACATAAGCTTTGCTGATAAATGGGGCCGTGGAGCTTTCCCTATTACTGTCCCCAAAGTCCGTGGACAGCATTTCCTGGAAGAATTAGACACACAGTATTGGAAAGGAACGAAAAGACTAGGCCCTATCTCCCATTTTACTGTGAACCATATCCCTGGAGACTTTTTTTTTTAAATTTATGTTTCAGTGGATAAGGAACAGTTGTGAATACACGCTGTGCACAAAATAATGTTTTGCAAGCCATATCCATTGTGGGATGGCTTAATTAACTACTCTGAAAATATTCTTCTGGCCTCCTGCCTGCTGTTCCCGTACATGAAATAAGGTCTCTCTGGCATCACCTGAGGGAGGCGGAGGACAGCAAGGAACATCTTAGCCCTGAGGATAGAAACGAGCACGACCCCTTCTGCGGTGCAGGAAATGGGATAGAGAAGGCGCACAGGCAGCCTGGGTGGCCCTGGGCCAGAGGGCCAGAAGGGGTCAGGAAGCCGGCCCATTCCACAGGGCAGGACAGAGCGTGCTAGGGTGGTGGCTGGGAAGAGGATAGTTCTTGGGCTGGGACGGAAGACTGTGGTTGGGAGTGGGGGTTGGGTGGAGAGAGAGCGAAGGTCACTTCATGTCGGGGAGGATGGAGAAAGCCAGGCGGAATGGCAGGAACGAGGAGAGAGCAGAGGTCAGTGGTGTGAGGGAGCGTCACAGAGATGCCGGGGAGGCAAAGGGCAGGAGGAGGGGCAGAGGACAGCTCCTGTGGGGACTTTTGCTCCTCCTTAATGACTTAAGGAAACACTGTGCAGTAGGTTAGTTTTGGCCCCACAATGTTAGCACTGCTGTGGACAGCTGGATTTGCCAGTGGACACACTCAGGCCTGACAGAAATAGAACCTATCTCGGGAAGGTGCTTGAAGGAGAGGGCCAGCGCGCTGGCTGCCCCTGTGAGATGTGGAGGAGCTCCCGGTCACTGAATGTTAACAGGGCACGGAAGGGCTGAAACGCAGGCCGACCTGCCCAGCAGCGGTCGGATTTCACATTCTTTGTGTTGGACCCTTTGATTTTTAAACGTTCTATGGTGACTAGAGTAACAAGAAAGGACACGCCTCCACCCACTGCCCTTGGTAAACCACCGGTGAGGTAGACCTGGGTCTTACAGGAGCCATGTGGCTTGCGGCCGTGGGCTTCTCCACCACGCACTGGGAAAATTTCCCTGAAGTTAAGGGACTGCCGAGTATGCTGACCTTCCGCGTGCAACCCGAAGGGCCAGGCATTCTGACTTGCCTTTAGCCACGCTCAAAACTCAGTCCTAGGTCAGCTCTTCTCTTGGCCTAGCTCCTGCCTGACGGAGCTCTTGTTTCCGACCACAGCCCCGGGTCCGAACTCGGCTTAGTCACCTCCCTAACCTGCGACAAACACCTGCCACCCGCACCTTAAAGGAAGAGAGGCTGATTTTGGCTCACAGTTTAGAAGTTTCACTCCATGGTGCCCTGGCTCCAAGACCGAGCCAGCATGGCAGAGGGGGCACAGCAGCCAGGAACGGAGAAAGGAGGGCGGAGCCCTTCCAGCTCATGCCCCTGGTGCCCTCTCTCTTCTGACTAGACCCCACCTCCTAAAGTCACATCGAGCTGTTGTGGCCCCACGATGCAATCACTCCCCACAAACCCGGCCTATGAGAGTGCACGAGGCTTGGGGGGACCTGCATCTAGATATGAACTGTAACAAGGCTTGTTCAGCTTTATTTCATGCTTTTGTTATACTTTCCGATGCTAGAACATTGGCAGCACCATTGAAGGAACACTCAAAACCCCCCACAATTTAATGGCGTAACTTAGTCACTAGTCCATGGAAAACGGCCAGCACTCAGCGCCCTGGGCCCTTAGACTCCCTTCCGCTTGGCTACTTCTGCTTGTGGCCTGGATGGTGCTCGCTCATGCAGTCAAGTTTCCCCACAGCGCAGGGACGCTGTGGAGCTCTCCATCACCACGGCCATAAGCACGGTAGAGCAAGCTGTGCTCGGAGTTGCTGGCACACCCTGCTCCTTAGCAAAAGCAATGCGCCTGCATTGATTAAAGTTGCGAAGCATTGTCACCGTCCCAATGTGCCACACTGGGACATCTGCTGACCCAAATCTCCATCCCCCCCATCCTGTGAGGGTTCTGGCCCTGTCATTAAGAACATCACTCGCAGCACTTGATGAATCTCGAGCACAAGCCTCCCTCCGCTCTCTTTTTCCCAACAGACTGCCAGTCTGTTCATCTTCTCTTAACCTCTGCCGTTTGCCCTTCTTTCTCTGATTCCTGCAGTGCAGAGGCTTACTGTCGTCGTTTTTCATAATGTGGATGCTTGGTCTTTAATAAATGCTTATGTGTATTACCCTTGACATGGAGTTCATTTCTATAGATGCACTTCTTCTTCTGCTGTCCCAATTGAAATATTGTCTGTGTTCTTTTTTATGAAACTCTTCCTCAGACTTCCGTTCTTCTAGAAAACTTTTTTTTGTGTACAGAGGATTTCTCAGCAGAAATCCATAGTCCTGCAAATATGTTTCTTGCCACTAGATGGAGCCTGTGAGGCGGCCCTGCCATGGAATCCTCTTGCGTTGCGCAATGGTTTAAACTGGGTCTTCCCATGCTGAAACAGCCACGTAGCATGACAGAGAGGGTGGCACAGTGGGAAGATCCTGCTGGGGCTGGGGACTTCTTGCAAAATGTTACAGGCGCAGGCACTGATGGAATGCTCTACTGAGCATTCAGATGGATGCTCTGCTGAGTCTAATTAAAACAGAATACAATGACATGTTTGCATTTCTCAGTGTGTGCAAGCAAAATTGTTTATCTGCTGTAAAGGCTTAGTGAGATTCCCGAACTACATGGAAGACTTCTTAAGGGAAGGGCACACGCGTGCCTTTGATCGCTGCATGGCCCTACTTTGTGCCTGCTACAGTGAGCCCTCCAGAACCAGTCTCACTCATTTACCCACTTTGTCGGTCCTATGCAAGAGCTTGTAACTCACTGAAAATCCCTAGCCTTCCGTGGCTTCTTTTCTGACAAGTACCCCTTGTTATGAGTTGAATTCTGTTTCCTCCAGATTCATATGTTGGAGTCCTACTCCCCACTACCTCGGAATGCAACCTTATTTGGAAGGGTCACTGTTGGGGTCATTAGGGAAGATAAGCTCACCCTGGAGTAAGGTGGGCCTGAACCCAATCGTTCTGCTGCCCTTTCTGAAAGGGGGGCATCTGGACACAGAGACACTGCTTTGCATCCATAGTTTACACAGATGCTTTCAGAACGAGCTTGGCTATCCGAAAGGGCAGATGCCAACCCGAGAGGCATCAGAGAAAGCCTCTGCAGCTGGGCTTCTGGGGTTCCATTACAGGCTGCACGGCTACAACTGAGTGACCTCAGGAAAGTCACCCACGGCCTTGGCACCTCGTTCGCTTCACCTGTCTAGCAGGAGGGTGTTGCTACAACCTACCTCAAGGGAGCTGTGAGGATTACTTAAGCAAATATGTCTTCGGAGCACAGAAGAGGGATTGGTACATGGTAGCCATTCAATAAATATTTATTAAAGAACTAAATTTAGAACTTGACTTCCATCTTCAAATATAGAGTTCAACAGGTACATTGCCAATTCCAGCATTACAATTTTTTTTTTTTTTGCTTTTTTTGAGATAGGGTCTCACCATGTAGCCCAGGCTAGCCTTGAACTCGTGGTGATCTTCCTGCCTCAGCCTCCTGAGTAGCAGGATGACAGGCATGCACCACCACACCCGGCTCCAGCATTACAATTTAAAGATACAGCATACCTGTAGACCAGGGATTCCTAACCTGGACACAAAGACATGAGGAGTCCATCCATTGGCTCTGAGGAATTCTTCTCAAACCTCCTGAAACAATGCGCACCTTTTGTGGGCATGTGCAGCTGGGCGGTTTTCATCAGATTTGTTCAAAGAGTTCAAGAGCGGCAAAATGA